CAATAAAACTAGCAAAATAATTATTGGCCCAACCAAAGTTGGAGCAGGTCCCCATACACTTATAAAACAAGATCCAAAGGACTAGTAGACCTAGGATAGGGCAACTGATGACTCTTGCCCTTTTGACATGCATCACAAATTGCATCTTTATTTAAACTCTTAACAAAAGGAAGCTTGTTGCGACTTAGAACCTGCTAGAGTACGAGAGTGGAAGCATGGCCTAGTCTAGAATGCCACAAGGACGCAGATGGTGAAGTGACGCTAAGCACTTGTTTATTTGGTGTCAACTCAAAGGATAGAGACCATCTTCACACACTGCTACAGAATTGGACATCACTGCCGGCCTCATCACTGCCGGATTTTAAAAATCGACAGTGATAGACCATCACTATCGCTTTTTGGCTAAAACCGACAGTGATAGGACCAACCGACACTGATATTCGGGTATTCACTGTCGGTTCATATCACTGTCGGTTTAAGCCAAGAACCAGCAGTGATATTGGGTCATCACTGCCGGTTTTAGCCAAGAACCGACATTGATACTATCACTGTCGGTTCATGGCTTAAACCGACAATGATATACTGCAAGAAAACTTCATGAGTTTCTCATATGATGTCCGATGAAGATAAACTTTATATCAAAGTTGTAGTACTCGATGAGATCTACAACCTTATAGTTCAAACTTTTTAATTTGAGATCGTTTGGATGTCCAAATATTTTCATTTGAAATAATCTATCTGACAAAAATTACGTTTGATTTCTAAAATTTAAAATTTGAATTTTTTAAACGGCCTCAGATTGAGAAACGCCCAAAACAAAAGTTGTAGATCTCGAAAAGTTATGCAACTTTATAGTTGAAAACTTTTTTATTTGAGATCATTTACTACTTGAAAATATTATTTGAAATTAAATTTGAAATTATTGAAGAACTCTAATTTATCTTTTTAATCTCTGGCTAAAACTTGTAACTAGTCTTTCTCCCTCATACTAACTTCTAATTTGATGATTTTTTTTCTAAAAATTTCTTAAATCATGCTCTATCAATTTATTGTGTTCTTACCGCTATTATTTTATCCATCTTTTCATGTGATTGTGTTTTATCTATTTGAATTTTGAATTTCAAAAAATGGCAACTTCAAACGTTATTTTGGAACACTAAATGATTTCAGTTGAAAAAATCATGAACATAGAAGTTGTAGAACTTATCAAGATCTACAACTTTTATTTTGATCATTTCTTCATCCGATAAAGTGGTAATAACATTGTTTATAAAATTTACATATCTCTCCTATAATTTCAAAAACAATAAGATGGATATGTAACATTTATGAACAATGTTACTACTACTATGTCGGATGAATAAATGATCAAATGACCAAAATAAAAGCTATAAATCTCGAAAAGTTATGAAACTCTGTAGTTGATAACTTTTTGATTTGAAATCATCTTGTCAAGGAAAATTACGTTTGAATTTTTAAAATTTAAAATTTAAATTTTATAAACGACCTCGGATGGAGAAACTGCTCAAATGAAAGTTGTAGATCCCAAAAATTTATGAAACATTGTAGTTGACAACTTTTAAATTTGAAACCATCTTCTCAAGAAAAACTACGTTTGAATTTTAAAAAAATTGAAATTTGAATTTTTTAAACGACCTCGGATGGACAAACAGCAAAAACAAAATTTGTAGATCTCAAAAAGTTATGAAACTTTGTGGTTGATAACTTTTTGATTTAAAATCATCTTGTCATGGAAAACTACGTTTGAATTTCTCAAATTTGAAATTTAAATTTTGTAAACGACCTCGGATGGAGAAACTACCAAAATGAAAGTTGTAGACCTCGAAAAGTTATAAAATTTTGTAATTGACAACCTTTTTATTTAAATTCATTTAGGGTCCCAAATACTCATTTTAAAATTAGATAAACATAAAATGGCTTGGACGAAAATCTCATTTGGACACAAACACCTTGCAGGTGGAGTGGTTAGGGGCCGAAGACGCGAAGGAGGATGACAGGGGATTGAGCACCGATGGCCGCGAAGCACGCATTTTTCGAGGAAAAATCTCTTGACTTGTGACTTGCGACGCGCGACCGTGTGGCTGTCCAGTGGGGCCTCTCCCGGCATTTAAAAAAATTCCTATTTTTTCAATGATTTTTTTGGCTTTCCTAGAAACCTCATCCCTGCCGGTTCACATCACTGTCGGTTCGTAAGAACCGACAATGATGTCAATCCCACATCACTGCCGGTATACCACTGTCGGTTCAAAATTCGACAGTGAAGGGTTTTTTGAACTGGCAGTGATGTCAAGATATGGGGTAGTGACATCTGCCTCTGAGCAAGGTCCTCTTCGTCCCCTATTCCTTAATGTAAAAGTTGATCAGGATGAAATTCAAGAAAGGCATTATTGTCACGTGTTAGGTGATGAACAAAGATCAAGTTTTTGTTGGCTGATGGAACATGAAGATTGTTGTTGAGATGAATTTTGCTAGCAAAGTGGGGTAATACAAAACGCTATGACCAACATGACCGATCTCCATACCTGCTCCTTTGCCAGTGTGCACATGTTCATTGCCGGTGTACTTGTCGCAGATGGTCAGCTTCTTGAGCTCACCGGTGACATGGTCGGTGACGCCAGAGTCCATGTACCAGTTGGTGTCGACTTCGAGGATGTAGTCGTGGAGGCCACACTCTTTTGCAGTGGTCTGGTGAAGGACGCGTCGAACCGCTTGAAGCAACGAATGACCGTGTGCCCGTCTTTGTCGTAGAGTTGGCAAGTGATACCGGATGGCGTGCCACCCTGGTCGCACCCATTGCCGCGTCCTCCCTTTTGGCCACCACATGCAAAACCACCATGGACTACACCACGACCGCACGTATTGCCTCCACCACTGTGACCGCCCTTGGCTGTCATGTTGACGGAGGATTGATGACCGCCACTATGGAGCTCCATTCTATGTTCAAAACTAATGAGCTAGGTATACAACTCACTGACCGAAATTAGTTCGACCCGAGAGGCGACAACATTCACCACTGGATTGAACTTGAGGTCATAGTGGCGGTCATAGTGAAATATGCCATCAATGAAGCTCCTCGTCTTCAAGATTCCCAACATATGCCATCTCATTTGCAAGGGCCTTCGTCTTGGTGAAATATGCGTTCTTGGAGGACACCCCTTGGACGCCGTCATGAACGCCATCCGTGTGCTGATCACACACGCTTAGGACTGAGAGGCAAACATGCCCTAGATCATGGCCCACATTACTATAAAAACGATTTGTGGCAACACCTCCCTTTCTTTGTAGAGACAGCTCTATATTGAGCCGTCCCTATAAATGGTTGCCAAATGAACCACCCTTACAAATGGATTTGTAGGGGCGGTTGGTGTTATCAGTCGCCCCTACAAATGGCCTGATTTGTAGGGGCGGCTCTATATCCAGTCGCCCCTACAAATCGGATTTTTAAGGACGGCTCAATATTGAACTGCCCCTACAAATAAACGCCGAGTATTAAAAATTAAGCACTAAAATTTAAATTTTATAAACGACCTCGGATGGAGAAACAACCAAAATGAAAGTTGTAGATCTAAAAAAGTTATGAAACTCTGTAGTTGACAACTTTTTGATTTGAAATCATCTTATCAAGGAAAACTACGTTTGAATTTTCAAAAATTTAAAGTTTTAATTTTTTAAACGACCTCGGATGGACAAACAGTAAAAATAAAAGTTGTAGATCTTGAAAAGTTATGAAACTTTGTAGTTGATAACTTTCTCATTTGAAATCATCTTGTCATGGAAAACTACGTTCGAATTTCTCAAATTTGAAATTCAAATTTTATAAGTGACCTCGGATAGAGAAACTACCAAATTCAAAGTTGTAGATCTCGAAAAGTTATAAAACTTTGTAGTTGACAATTTTTTTATTTGAATTAGTTTAGGACATCAAACAATCAATTTATGCTCAGTTTTGTATAATATGTGGTGAACCAAAATGGATTGTAGACATAAGTGATCGTGAGGTGCAGTGGTAGAGGAGTTTACGCGCGAGGGAGAAGTTGCGGGTTTGAATCCCGGCCGAAAAGTGTGCAAAAATCATGAAAAAATGCTGCAACCATAGAGTGGGTGTGTGGCTACCGATGGGACCTCCTCGAATTAAAAAAAATGCTATTTTTTGCCTTTTTCTTATGATTTCTCAATATCTAGCCACCCTTGGTGATTTATAGTCACGATTTAATAGGGGTGGCTGCCAAAATATCTAAAGCCGCCCCTACAAATGCAATTGACGTAGTGCCATGCTGCGGCGGCGGAAACCGCCGTAGATATTTGCGAGAGGACCTCTCGCGACATCGACGACAGCAAGTACTTTAGGACCTGCTGGTCCTTGGCGATCCAGGTTTCATATTCTGGATTCGGTAGTGGTGCCACGTCCTTGTTCTTGCTGTCCTTGGGCTGAGGAAGAAATGCCGCCGGGGGTTGCGCCGACGCGCTGATGAAGCCGACGAGCTGTGCTCCCCTCAGCGCCGAAAGGACTTGGGCACGCCACATCTGATGATTGTTGTGGGCGAGCTTCTCGGTCAAGGAAAACCGTGAGAGGGAGATGTAGACGCAGCGGAGGACGATGGGGACGCCATTGGTGATTTCTGTTAGGAATTTGGCTCTGATTACCATTCGAGAATAGATGAGAATGGGTATATAACGAGTTGCCTCACACTATATACCAGGAACAGCCTCTGGTGTGGCTTGTACAACAATCAAGTACAACAAGATAGAGATACACCCATGACAAACTAATCCACTTAGATTACAAGACAAGTAACACGCCTAACCAACCCTCTAGAGCATATCCGCATATACATATGTTAACACACTACACACAGTACAACCCAATGCAACAAACAAGGACCAAACACGTACGTACGCGCGCGTACATTACTACGCCTTCTACAACGCCTGCATGCATGCACATGTCCACGTCATTACTCTCTCGTCTTAATTTCCCTCTATGGGCTCGTCGGAGCAGCCGACGTGGGCGGCGAATCGCCGTGGTGTATGGGGTCCGGGCCGGAGGGTACCTCTCTCTTGTTGCCGCCAGCACCGTCGTCACGCGGCGTGAACGACGCGAGCCTCGGCCGACGGCCGACGACGAGGCCGAGCTGCTGCCTCTCCCAGTAGGCCACATTGCCGCTTCCTCCGCCACCTCCGTTGACAGCGGCGGCAACAGCAACCTCATCACCCGTCGTCTGCCGCCCCATGCGTGCCGCTTCCGACGTCGTCGTCCAAGAAGCAAAGAGAGCGCAGAACAGGAAGGCAGCCATCGCCACCGTTGCCATCCTTGACGCCATCGTATCGATCACCAAGCAAGCTAAGACGATCAAGTTATATATATATTATATAATATGAGTGATCGAGTAACAAAGGATCTATAGCATGCAGAAACAACAATATATATTTGTTGTCTACATACAGATGGTGATCGATCGATGTGGTCAAACACATGAAGCCCAAGGCCCATATATATACACATACACACACCCCGCTTCAAAGCTAGGCGTGGAAGCAGCAAGGAAGAATCATTTTAACTAACCGACGGTTAGTTTAGTATTGGTACTAACAAGGCAGTCTCATTCGAGAGTTTCAATACATTATTCCAAAACTGTCATGTCATATACTCCCTTCGTTTCAAATTATAACTCAGCCGGTTTGGCTTACCCCAAATTCGGTTTGTTCGGCTTCTTTTTTCAGCCGGAACAGTATTTTCTCTCACAACAATTCAGCCGGAATAGTGTTTTTCAGCTAGTTTCAGCCAAGTTCTAGACCAGCGAACGGAACATTTTTATATGCTCCCTTCGTTCCAAATTATGAGCGTTTCATGACGTTATTCCAAAACTGCCATGTCATATACTCCCTTCGTTCCAAATTATAACTCATTCTAACTTTCTTAGAAAATCAAAACATTTTGATCAAAATTATAGAGAGAATATAAAAATTTATGACATCAAATATATATACTATAAAAATATAATTAATGAAGAATCTAATGATACTTATTTGATATTATAAATGTTATTATTTTATTATATAAATTTGGCCAAACTTGAAATGCTTTGACTCTCTAACAAAGTTGAAATGACTTATAATTTGGGACAGAGGGAGTAAACTGAAATGAAACATGTACGAAACACACACTTTCAATAGGAAGTTTCATTCTATGGTCTCGTATACATTTAATTTATGACTCATTGATAGTTCTTAGTCGTGCCAAGTGAGTTTCATCTCCATAAAATTCAATTCTTCTCTCCTCTTAAAAATATTACCACACCATTAAAAGCGTTTATGCAGCAACTTATTCATCATTACAAATAAAACTCTAAAGATATACTTCCACTAAAACTAGCCTAAATTACTCAAGTAAAGCTGCAGCAGGCTGGATCGAAAATGCCATGGCCTTTTTGGAGGGAGGAGCTGATCCGATTGCGGAAAGGTATAGTGGGGGTCGCTTCGGAATCGCAACAATAAGCAGCATGGCCACTTGCAGACGAGTCCGTCCAGGGCTGGCAGTTAATCGTGGGCACCCTGAAGCATTAGTTTAGTGTAACTAGTGTAGCGTCCCTCGTTATCCTGTCGGATCATGGTTCGCTCATGGAAGTCAAAAGGACAACTTTGGTTGTAATTGTAAGAGGAGGTGCGATCACACTATATAGTATAGTAGTATGTCACAAAATGGCAAAACTACTCCTAAATACCTAGATTGAACTCTGATAGTGTACGTGCACTAATGCACTGCACACTACATTTGACTGCATGCATGCGCATGCCACCGACCGGATCTTGTTATTTGGAGATCAGATATGCTTGTGGTTGCTATAGGTTTTGCTGTACTTACAATCATATGTTTCGGCCACAGTTTTGCTTCAAAAATGTATATATAGTTTACAGGGCCATTGGAGAATACATTTAATTTATGGCTGATCGATACTTATCTATATTTATACCTACCTAATATTAACGAGTGATCCGTCCTTTTTTTTACCTTTTGAAACGCTATCGTGTCGTCGTGCCTCATATGTGATTTGGGCTCACCACCTGTGCTCATACAGTCTGATTCTAAAACGTATTGGATTCCTTGCAACGCTGGACACGTTTGCCAGTATGTACAAGGTTGGCAGATATGAGATATATATGTAGTAATATGTGGTCTTAAAGCTCATAATTAGTTAGGTATCTTATTGGGTCTTGTTGGATTTCATTGAAATCGTAAGGCGTAATAAATGGTAGTTGCTATAAAGGATTAATCATGTGTGGGTAATTGACCAGAAATTGGCGCATCTTATTAAATAGGTGACTGTTTCTACATCTGTTATGAGGTTAAAAAAATTTGGAGGCTAGCCACACGTGATGCCAATAAGATTTTGCACCCCAAACTATGTTTGAGTAGATCATGAACCAAGAGAAGGAAGAAAATTAGTGGGGGCAGGAGCAACAAGGGTCGGAGTGAGTGACGAAAGAAAAGCAATGGGAGTGATCGACAATAGATCAAGGGACAGAGGAGAGAATTTTTTGTACTTTAATATTGTTATTATTATTACTAGCAACTATGCCTTCGTGTTGCATAGTGCTCGTGCCAATGATAATGAGCAAGTTGTTTATGTTAGATTTAATTGTGCTTGGCCCAACTTAAAATCAAATAAATTCAAGGTCCATAATAAATGCTAGTGCAATAAAGGATTAGTCTCATATGTAAAATTGATAGAAAACTGACTCAATTTGAATATGTGGCTATTGTGTTCGCCAATTGTGATCCACAAGCCTCTACATGCATCTCGACGCGAATGGGCTGAGTTGGCGAGGCCATGACATGAGTGATGTAGTACCAAATGTAGGTTTTGCAATTCCAAACCAAAAGCGAGAAATGTGAGGGTTAGGGAGACTGGGCCAAAGGATGTAAGAAGTGTGATGCATCACTAACAAAGGTTTTATAGTTTCAAACTAAGGGTGCATTTGGTATACCGGAACGTTTCGGTCTCCAGCCTAAAACACAAGAACCACTTCCAAACGGTGGAGTTTGAGAAACTTCTCCAAGAATCACTGTGAGACGTCTCTGGTTTTTACCCTACTGGATTGAAACGATAAAAGGCTGGTTTTGCAGAGAATCAGTTCTCTTCAGTTGTAATCCCACGAAAAGTTTGATTTTTTTAAAAAAATATATTTTTATTCATATGATTTTTTAAGAATATATATGTTTTCTTGTGGCCAAACAATCTCACAAACTGATTTTGATTCATCATTTAAAACATTTCTTGAGTGAATCTGGATACGGAATGTTTCAACGAGAATCTAGATCCTTATCAAACACTCTCTAAAAATAAGAAAGGTGAGAGAGAACGCTGTGCCAAGGGACGTAAGAGTGAGGGATGGACAGAGACTAATAGATGGGAGAAAGAAATTTTCCCAGTTTAATATTATTATTATATACTGATAGATCAGGTGCAGATATATATTTAATATTAGGTACGGATATAGATGTACTCCATCCGTTCTAAATCATAAGTCATTCTAACTTTTTTAGAATCAACACATCTCAAGTTTGACCAAAATTATAGAGGGAATTACAAATATTTATGACATCAAATAGGTATACTATGAAAATATAATTAATAAAGTCTAATGATACTTATCTGGTATCATAAATGTCATTATTTTATTATATAAATTTGGTCAAACTTTTTCAAAAAAGTTAAAAAAACTTATAATTTAGGATAGAGGAGTATAAATATATAGATTGATTGCATGGGTGGTGTGGTTGAGATATTGATCTATGTTCGCGTTAGATTCGGTTTTAGTGGAGTTAATCCGGTAGGCAGTGCTTTGTCGCATGGATGTCTAAGGCGAAGTCTACGTGGTATGTTGATAAGACGAAGTGAAAGAGCTATCTCGTCTCGTCACCTTAGCTTGGACGGATTTCTGATTAGGTTTAGTTTATCTTGAGCCTATCCAGGCCGAGATGCTGTCGATGCGGCAGTGTGGATCAACATGAATGGCCTTTTGCCCTCCTGGTGGGACTTATGAATACTAAAGGCCAAATTGATTCGATCTCTATCTGATTGGATACTTCCAATGCGTACCTCACTGTTTGCTGAGATATACGATCATTCCAAATTATAAGACGTTTTGATCATTATGCATGTATTGAATAATAGGAGCTATCAGTGAATTTAAAAGTATGATACATCTGAAAAACAAAAGGACAGAGTTGCTTCTAGTTTTTTTTATTAAATGTGCTTTAACATACTGAAACATGTTTGTAGATTTGGTAAAGCTCCTCTATCATGGGAAGACATGAAAAACAATTTAGAGCATCTTCAAGAGAGAAGCTATATGTGCTATGTAGTCTATATTTCAATATTTTCAGAGAAAACAGTCCTCCAACAGCTCTTCTATCCGGTGTTGATCCGCTAGCTAAATATGCATGCCATCGCGGCTCGCCATCGGCTTCCCCTGCGCGCGCTTGGCTCTTTCCATGTGCGTGGAGCACCGCCGCATGGCCCCCTGCCAGCTAAATATAGCATGGAGTTATCTATTTTAGAAAGGCTCTTTGTGTTATCTATTTTCGGAAGGGAGTTTCTATTTTAGAGAATAGCTAAATCATTGCTTTAGCGATCCAATTTTACAAACTCTCTTGGAGTTGCTCTTAGAGATGTTTATGTTTTTGAGTATTATTGTAATATTTTTTTTAGAAAATTGAATCTATAAAACAAGTTGGATATGTGGAGTTGTAGGAGAGCTAAAAATAATGCACAAGTACTAGCACCATATTACTAAGAAAAGTGAGCAGAGAAATCTTTTTCAACAGTGTACGATGCTGGTCCTAAGCTAGACCATGCCAGGGATGCAAATTGGACACAAATGAAGTCACGGTACAACGGGAAAAAGGCACGAGAACATCAGCTATCACCTTGTTTTTCTTCTCTATTCTTTTTTCTATGTTTTTTGTCCTCTTGTTTTTTACTTTTGCACAAGTAGCACAAATCTGAAGCTTGACAACATAGTTTTCAGAAAAGCAACTTACAATATATACTTCTTTTTTTCATGGGGTAAAAAATAGAACTAGTAACTCGGATTTTTCTTTGTGTGACCAAAACAGAATTTTCCGTGGTTGTTCAAGTAGTGGGGATGGATAGAGTATAATCAAGACGTATATGATAGTATTGATTGCAACAGAGACATATAATAAGGTGTAGTGGAGATGTATATGTTGGTGGTGATGGCAACGGAGATGGATATGGTTGGTACTGACCTAAACAAGACAAGAACTTGAACCTCTAAATCCATTCCACTAGACCCT